GTTTCTTGTGATTGGTTCTGTATTATATCTTCTGTATTTTTACTTAATTAATTTTTGCAAGAAATAATCTCTGCCTGTTCAACTCTGCATTTGGATCCTTAACAAGTGACCACTATCCTTGGAAAGGCTTACAAGACTACATCGTGCAAAATGCTGATGTCTTTGCTGAGCAAATAATAGGGTTTATATCCTATTTGTTGTATAATTTGTCGGTACCCAAGCGGCGATCCCTGATCTACTCCCGGAAGTTCATTGTTTTTATTTGTAATTATTCATTTTCATGTTGGGCTTTATGTTTACATTTCCTCGTATCTGCATTGTATATAGTGCAGAATATGATAAGGAATGACAGAAATAAAAAAAACACAGTGCAATCATCAATCTGAGGATGACATCAGACAAGAAATATGATGCACAAAGGTAAACACATCCGTTCTCTCTCAGCAAGGTTGTTTATTTACATTTTGTATGATGCAGTTTAACATGCATTAATAATGCAAGAATAGAAATAAGTTAGTAATCAAATTACAATTCACCTAGATGTAGATGACTGTGTTAATAACCTAAATACAACATTTAATGTTGACCTGGATTTATTCCTGGTTGCACAGATGATGAGACCGGATGTGGTAATGCTAACTAGAATTTTGTTTTTCTTTTTCTTTCTTTTTTTTTTTTTACAGTGTCCTGTCTGGCAATTTGGCAATAAGCATAGTTGTCTTGATGCCAAAAAGAGCCCAACAGATTTTACTTTCAAAAGTGGAGCGGTACGGCTATTGCCATAGTGTTACGCCTGATTTATAGATGACTGACAAATAAGTCCCTGTCCATCAGATAGGATTTAAAGCAGTCCAGAGATTGACTAGTAAGGACAACCCGGTTCCCCAGGTACTCTGATAAAATGTAGTTATTAACTGTTTCAAATGCTGAATTGAGGTCCAGTAATACCAGCTTTATGGTTCTTCCACAGTATGAATTTGTTCTGATGTCATTGAGAACCTTTTTTAGGATATGCCATGCATACGGTGTGAGCAGGTCGGCTGGCCAGGCTAGCACTATGTTAAACTCTTAAAATCGCCATAGTGTTCCGCTTGATTTATGCATATAAATAGCTTTATTATAATTCATGCAGGGAGTATTACAGATTATATGGACTCTGCCATGAGAAAGTAGAACAGGAATGAAAGAGGAGATAAAAGGGAGACAATGATAAATAAAATCACCTGCAAAGAGAGATGTTAAAAGAACAACACAACCAGCGGATAAAGTATAAGAGGTACAATAAAGTAGCACTTTGATACCATCACTGAAGTAGTAGTATTATTTAATCTGACATGTACTCTGTGTTACCTGAAGATAAGAATATGGGCTTTCTGTATGGAAGTGAAAAAGTACCTGGAGCCAAGCACCTGTAGTTGTTTGTGAGAGTGCACTTGTGCTTGTAAAGTTTATCCAAAGCAAAAATGCTCAATAGTGGTCGTGAAGAGCCGAAGACCAGCTGGAAAAGGAGACGCCACAAGAGCAGAATAGCGCGGCTGCACCACTTATTATCACAGAGGGAGTTAAGCTTTTAGCTATTACTTTTACCATAAGTTTGGTACCTGTGAAAGTAACACATCATGTTTTTCTATATACGTATAGCTTAAGCAACACTGTAGATGTTACTTTTGCCCAATTAAATGTTAATAAAAAAAAGGAAATCTTATATAAACGACACTCTAGTTTACTTTTACAATCCAATTCAGTTTATTTATATAGCGCCAATTCACCACACATGTCATCTTAAGGCACATTAGAATTCAACCAGATCATACAGTCAAATTGGTTCAAAGTTTTTCTATCTAAGGAAAACCAGTTGATTGCATCAACTCATTGACTCAAAGGCAATCCCTGACACTAAACATGCTTGCAGCGACAGTGGAGAGGAAAAACTCCCTTTTAACAGGAAGAAACCTCCAGCAGAACCAGGCTCAGTGTGAGCGGCCATCTGCCACTAGGAGGCACAACCCCCAAGACAAACACTGCTGTAGAAGAGGTTTTACAGTGTATGTATTCATTCCATATCTAAAAGTAATAACTATTATATTCTTGTACATCAGCAAAATTTGATTTTCTTTGTATTTATGACAATCAAAGATTCTATGTGTTTAAAACCAACCAATGTTCTCTTGCAGATAAACCTTTTACTTCTTTATCTCTTTGTTCTGTTTGAGTTGTGGATAAAACACCAAATGATACTGTCTGCTCTCATTCAGTTCTGTATGTGTAGGAATAAAAACCCTCCCTGATAACAATGCTATACATTATATGGATCATAGAATACTTTTAACAACCAAACTAATAAAATTAATTTAAATGTATGTAAAGAAAGTTCAGTGAGAAAATATAAAGGAACCAGTGAGTTTTTTTTGCTCTTTTCTCCTCTGCAGTGATGAAGGAAAACCCAGGCAGTGTTGTGAATGATTCGCTGAAAAATTAAGCACTGCCTGTTCATGTCAGCTCTGCTTTGCAGGAGGTAGCTGCGCATGTGAAGCACAGCGCAAAGTGCTGGATGAAAACAGCACTGGCTATGGCTCTGGGATTAAAAAAAAAAAATTCTGGTGAAATGGAGCGGGAAATGTTTCAGAGCACACTCTAAAAGGACATTGTTCCAGCCGTACCTGCTTTAACGTGGTGCTAATCATGGCACTTTAAAGCACTTGAGGAAATCTGCCAGTCTGAATTATAACTGGAGCACTGAGGAGATTAGATTTATAAGAACCACACTGATAAAAATTTTTATGAAGTGAATGTACCTGTAATATTTTAAGCTATTGCTCAGATTAACCAATAATATAGCACAGCGACAAGATAAAGGCAACCATGTCCCTGAAATGCACTTAAAAGAGCAAAACAACAGAGTGCAGAAGTTACTGCCACATCAGAATAAAATGATCCAAACTCAATGAAGCTTGAAGGATTTTATGTTTTAAGCCACTAAATTACGGAAAAGACCTGAATAAAAAAACTGAACAGCTTCAGGGCACTTTTGTAAAGTGTGCTTAAAGAAACTTTAAAAAAATGCTGCAGTAATGATGAATGGAGCATTGCTGAGTCCAGTCGTCTGTCAGCATAATGGATGCTCAGGAGTTAGCAGAGCTGTTACATGCTCAGAGAAGGGGGGGAGTTGTTCGTACAAAAGGTTCATTTCATTCTTTTTAGCTTGTAAAAATGCTGATCATATATAATCCTTACATACATGCATGGATGAAGGGTTAAAAGCTGTTGAAATAAATGACCTTGAGTTTAAATATGTTTATTTAGAGGTTAAAATTCAGTGTTAAGAGGTGTTTTTTAATAAAGCCAGTGTGAGCATAAGTGTTATAACATCTTTCAGTCATGGGTGAAACCCTGCTTTGGGAACAAGAAGAACTTCTAAGCCATCTTCTTACATATCCTTTCTCTGTCATTTGCAGTTTTGACTTTCCCCCATTATTCTCTTTAGTTCATAGCACAGGTTCAGGTTTCAGAAGTGTCATGTGTTTTGTGAATAATGTTTTTTTGTCCTGTTTCTTGGATCATACCTAGCTGATACCTAGCTGAATATATCTTTTCTGTTGGAGTCCATGATGTGTTTATTTATAAATGTGCTGATATATTTAAGACTTCATGCCTTTAAAGGAATCCTTCACCTGAAAGTGGAACTCTTCATGTTAAAACCTGTTGGTTTGCATTTAAAACCTTGCCTGGCCAGCTATCCTGACATAAAGCGACGTAAGTCAGTCTAGTAAAGCTCACTACTCTGGTGTCTAAAAAAGGCTGGAACACTCACAGCGCGGGAGGCATGCGCATAAGTTAACACTGCTTTTATGTAATTTTTAGAGCTAAGATGGCCGTTTCTCAATATTTGTACTTGTGTGTTCTCATGTGCTCGTGTACTCGAAAAAGGTCTACAGCCTCAGCCCTAGTACTGCTCCAATTCACAAGAACAAGAAGAGCGAGAACAAACAAAGCCCCAGGGTTGTTCTCGCCCCACCCTCTTTACCCAGCATGCATCAGAGCAGACTTGTGAAATTAAGATACGGCGTTTTTCAATTCACTAGAATGAGAGTACTGACTCGTGTTTTCACCACGATGTTCTTGAGAAGAACACAGGAAAGTATGGACTTGAGGAGAACGCGAGAACGCAGCATAAATCTGGGTCAGTTGGAACAGAAGCGTACTGATGACGTCACCACACGCTCTGCTCGTCTGGAGCTGCATTTCCTCCCATTATTAATAGTCTCTAGATAATAATAAATTCTTGCTTTTTTCATTTAGTAGGGGAATATTAATGAACACAGTCAGATAAACACAAATCAAATGAACATTTTACCAAATAAAACAAAAAATCCCCATCAGAGCCAGCGGTAGTTCACACACAGCTATGCAGAGAGACGGCTGCTGCAGACGGGCTAACGTTAGCCCTGGCTGCCATTACCCTCGGAGGTCCGATTGTTATCGTGGCCCTCTCAACTTCGGAATTAGTTTTTTTATCACGCATTAAACTGGTAAATGGACTATATAGACACGCTTATAATATTCTCGCTCAAATGATCTTAAAAAACACTTTTATTGAACAACAGCAACAGAAAGAACTTTTAACTTCAAATGAGAATTTCATTGAAATCTGCTGCTGCCGCAGTGCATGCTGGGACAGCTGAAATTTGAACTAATACCAAATAATAACTTTTTAACCCCAGGTACACATCTTTAACTATTTCCTACTGCTGCCTGTGCCAATGAAATATGTTAATTGGCTGCGTGCTGCCCCGGCTACCATGTAGCTGTGCTATTATCTTTCTGACATTCTAATTCCATTTGATTGCAACAGTATGCACGAATAATGACCGGCCAGACTAGACTAGTTACCACTTCACGTTAAATGCAGTCCTGTTTTACCTTCACCAGCATCATTATAAGAGGACATTGGGTTGTATATTTTTCCTTGTTCGGGATCATCCAGCCATGCGGTTTCCTACCTGTTACTTTGAGTTGCGTTGTTCGTCGCACCAGTCTTGATCCATACTGCAATTCACAGGTGTAGTTCCCCCCGTCGCCCTCCTCCACCTCGGGAATCCAAATATGTGTGGTGTTAACAGTAACAGAGCTCCTCCATTCCACTCGCTCACATTCCTAACAGAAGAAAGAAAAAGCACCAATATCAGAGAAGCAGTCTCTGGGTAGATATGCCATGCCATTCGGTCATTGTGCCTTACCTTATACCAGGTCATCTGTGGTTGTTTGTAGGGAGCCAGATAGTCCTCTATATCAGGACAGGTAATCATTTTGCTGTGGGTTACCTCGGCCATCTCCAGATGCCGGATTTTGCTGCTAAAGCATTTCCCCTCATCGCTCTCCTCCACAGTCATCGACATGGACACTTTCATGCAGTATGTAGAGTTCCTAAAGAGGCAATGGGAACAATGAAAACAAGTTTTACCATGAATCAAATTTAGATATCGTTCAGACCTTCTCACCGTGGGTTGCTGACATTGTGTCACACCTGGGACTAAGATTTTAGCCTACAAAGTTGTTGTTTGTAGCTTTAGGAAGTACAGTAAGGCCCATACTAATGTTCAGGTTTAGAGGATAGGGTGAGGAATGGATTAGTGCTACTCTTGCAAGTTCTGACCAAAACCTCTCATGCACCTTTTGTGTCAATAAATGACGAGAGAGGTACCCCATATCCTCAGTAGGGGGCTTGACCAACCTTCAGTTTTTGATGAATTCGGAGTTAGGCCGCCTTGGTAAAACTGTTTCTATATCCTTGTAATGTCTGGAATACACAGAAGACCCTCAGACCCTTTTGAAAATTTCACAGGTATGTATGTGAGCCTGGTCCATATAGGACATGATTACCTATCTTATTGTTATCGGAGTTGGGGGGGGGGACCATATAGATATTAAATTAAAGGGCCCCTAAGATGGAGCCTTGGGGAACGCCATTTGTGATTTAAGTGGCCTCTGATGCAAAGTGACAGACTGACAAATAAGTCCCTGTCCATCAGGTAGAATTTAAACCAGTCCAGAGATTGACCAGTAAGGACAACCCGGTTCCCCAGGTACCGGGTTAACTGTTTCAAATGCTGAATTGAGGTCCAGTAATACCAGCTTTGTGGTTCTTCCACAGTTGAATTTATTCTGATGTCATTGAACACCTTTATTAGGATATGCCATGTATACAGTGTTAGCAGGTTGGCTGGCCAGGCTAGCAGTATGTTAAACCCCTAAAGCACCAGAAAAATAGGTCCCAGAAAAAATGTTAAAAAATTGGTTCTTTAGTTTGTTAAAATATGTAAAATTGTATTTCTCTGTATTGCTTAGAGCCATCTGGTGTGGCATAGCTAACCTTGGGGAGGAGTTCCTCTGATATAATTGTACTAGTGAAAATGCTGATAAAAAAATCACTAATAAATATTATTGAAATGTATATCATTGTTTGACATGAGGAGGATCTTTGTTAGCCTGGTGCTAAACATGTCATGATCCTGGCACTGATGGCTGGCTTAATAGCTCATTTCATTCACCTGTCTAAGACTACCTTGTTTCTCATTACTGCTCATCTGATCCACCTGCTCCTGCTTCTATTTAAACAGCCATCAGTGCCATATCATTTTTGAGCCTTTAGTGAGAGTTACTAATAGTGTTCTGATTACCTGATCCTGACCCGTTTCTCTCTTCCAACCTTTCAGCTTGTTTGACCCAGTTTTGATCTGTTTGGCTGACCTGTCTTTGGATTCTGTTGGGATTCTACTGTGGACTGAACCTGGATCTGCCTCCTGCCTTCCTCTGTCATCTGCTCAGATCTGATCTCCTGTCAGTTCTGTGTCCTTCAAGGCTTTGGCGCCAGGAACTCTGTGCTGCAAGCCCTGCATCTTGTTAGCTGACCGTCTTGTATCGACCTTTTTCTCTGGGCATAGTCTGAACTCTAAACCAGGTTAGTTACTCACGTGTTCAGATCATCCTACGTCAGGTTTTCGTGGTCACTAACTTGTATTTCCTCTCACCAGAGTTACCTGCCTCTGACGCCCTAGGCGCTGCCGCTTTGATAAACATTTTTTAAGTTATCACACTGTCTTGCCTGAATGTTGGGTCCCTCTGTTCTGAGTCATTACAAAACAGAAATCACTGGGTATTCCTGCTATTTTATCTTTAACCAGAGATTTTGATATGCCTTAACACACAAGTAAGATAAGTTACTTTGCTAGAACAACATTTTTTCAAATCATTGAGTGTTATGTTTTGCAGCTGGGGTATAAAGCAGGTAGGTCTACCTGACTTATACTTTCTTAACTTTTTTCTCAAAAGGTGAAGGCACTGGGTCACTTGGGTTATTACTGACCAAAAGATCAACATGATCCATAGAAAAGCTCTGATAAACGTCCTTTATTAGAATTGAAGAAGTCAGTATATGACAACACTAAGGCTGATGCAACACCTTCTCTTCGAGACATTGAGTCATATCCTCCTCCCAGTAATTATAACAATACTGAGACAAAAATGTTTTCTAAAAAAGTAAAAACTGAGACAGAACAAAACTTTTCTATCTGTGGTATATATTAAAAACTATCAAGATTGTATAATTTCCCACAACACCAATTTCTGGCTATTGTTTGACTGTTAGAGGTGAAATACCCACCAGCCATTTAAATAATCTTTTCTGTTCAGAAGCATTAAAAAAGTCTCAGAAATGTATCCAATGCTGCAATCTGCTCACCTCAGCTCAATCTAATGTTTGTTAAAGGCACCAACCGAGGTGCATTAATTGATAAGTCCCCCACAGTGCACTCTCCATGTGTGCTACCCTTACGCCTTTCAACAGAGCAGTAAAATATATTTAGGCTGATGATTAAATGAGCAAAAATAAAGATTGCAATCACCCGTCAACTTTTTTTTTTGCAGATCTTGCAATTTTGATAGTTGATTCAGATATTTTCCAAGAGACAATGTGAGGAGGAGCTCTGGAGCTCGGACAGGAGCAGAGGAGATCAGAGCAAGAGGAGAAACCAGAAAGCAGAAATGGCTGTGGCTAACACAGACCAGCTATGAAGCTATAGGAGTAGACAGTGACGAATGATTAAACATTTCTTTTAAGGTAAACCTCAAAATGTAATCTGTGTTTTAGGATTTCCTGCTGCCATTTGTAGGAGCTCAAAGTGAAAATAAAGTGTTGTTCAGGTATGTCGTAAAAGCTCAAAAAGATGAGTATATAAAATTAAACGTTACACAGGTAAGTGTTGACATCTCAAGTTGAAGTAGGTATTAATTATAAACTCTTTCATTACAGTTCACTAAGAAACGTTTACGTTGGAGTCATCAGAGCAATTTCTACTTTATTTGTACATGAAAAAATGGTTTTCATTGTAAGGCTAATGAATTTTACCACCTTTAAATATATATTTTTGTTGATTTTCATGTATTTTTCCTGGTTTTACATGTCTGCAGAAGCAGTGATCAGTGCTTGGATGCAGTGACTCTCTCTCCTCCAGCTCCCACATCTACTTCAAAGCTTGCAATGCACCACGGCTAATATTCAAAACACTTTAAGCGACTCTTTGATGCATGTAAACTCTGCACATCTGACACCTAAAACCTGTTCAGTCTGAGCACAGCGTTAGCGCTAGTGTTAGCCACCAATTTAGGGTGAAATGACAGCTTTTCCGCAGTACACTGTGAGATTGCTATTACAATGACTTTTAAAGTGTAAAATCATCATGAGATTCCTGCTGCTGATGCCAAAGTACAGTGAAATAAATTATTGATATGCTTCTTAAAAAGTAACTTCGTTAAAAAAATTTCAAAAAACTTACATTTGGGAACCTCACAGTTTAAAGTGTTATGTTTATGAATACTGTAGGTGACTTGATGTTATTTTATTGAAAAATCTTTAGTGGAGATTGTTTTCCTTATATGAGAATAAACTTAAATTCAATGAGCTAATGCTAATAGCTATAAGCTAATTAGCAACGAGCTAAAATCTTTAAGGCTGAATGTTTTGTCATGTGCTTGTGTGGTTGGTAAAAGTATCAAATATACTGACTTTGTTAACTTTGTTCTTGTTTTTCCTCTTAATGTGAACAGTCGTCTCCTCCTGTGTACACGCTTTTTGATTACATACATTCTGCATTTAGCTGCAATAAAGTGACACCAATGTGCCCTTGAGCTGACTCAGGTTAGACACCTAAAAGCCAGGTTTGTTGTTAAAAGTGATGTGGTCTCCCTTTTTTATACTTGAAATCGGACTAAAAGTCTTAAATTCTGCTGAAGGTGATTATTTTGTGTTTGTGAAGCCAGGCTCAAGTCGTTTTCTGCCATCTTAAACTCTGGACACAAAGCAACACATTGATCTCTTTTTCTTTCATCCTCTTTGCACACACCATCACGCACACAAGCTCACCCACTGTCCTTTAACCACAACCTTTCATCTAAGTGAATCTGAACAACTTATCCCATCAATGCAGCCTGTGTGTTTCCCCTGTGTTGGGGTCTTACAGAGGGCACTGGGATGTGGGTCACTGACCGAACTAAAACCTCTAAGCATTGAACTGGAGATTTGGATTTTTTTTTTTTTATCCCTCCATCACTCCCTTTCTCCCCCACCCTCATCAATCTGCTCCAAACGGCAGCATCTTGTTTTCTTCGCCACAGATTCTGTTAGCTTTCTCTGATTGCTCTGGTGGCTAGGGTGGCTTTCTCTGGCCAACATGTTTGTTGACTCAATGTTCCCAAATTAAAGCTCAGATTAGCTGCATAAAAATAGTTTCTGGATCAATATATCTGTAAAAAAAAAAAAATAATAATAACAACCTAAAGGCTCCTCACATATGGAGGTTCCATGTTCTCCCTGTACATGCATGCATTCTCTATGGGTACTCCATCTTCCTTCCACTGTCCAAAAGCATGACAGTTAGACTGGTAGGATCTTTAAATTGTCCTCAGGTGTGTGTGACTCTGTGTTATCCAGCGACAGACTGGCTACCTGTCCAGGCTATAACCCTTCCTTTTTCCCATAAACTGCCAGAGATAACTATCGGCCCCACCGTGACCCTGATGGTATAAGCTGGAGAAAATGGAAGGATGGTTCAATACATAAAAACAATTTAACAAAGCATTTCTTTGTAGGTTTTTCTGTCTGAAATTACATAGACTGTCCTCTAATTGATTAAATGTCCATTAAGATTTACGTAGTAAAACTCTAAATTAGCTTCTTTAATATGTTATTTTTGTTCCATTAGTTCAAACTAAGCATATATTTTTTATGTTAATTTGAAAAAATTCAATCCAGAAATACAACTTTTGATTAAAAAAAGTTTTGGTTAAACCTTTGGTGTTTCCTGATTTAATGTCTATTCAATTTATTTAATTTTTCTTTTACACTCAATTTTTTCAAATTTCTCTTTTTC